TCTAAATATCATTTTTTTAAGTTTTTAAAAAAAAATATAAATATTCATGAAAGAATGGTTTTTTAGGATTTGTTACTTTGTTGGTTTATTTATTTATTTAGGTTATAAATAAATATTCTATTTATTTAAATTTTTATTTCAATTTTTTTTTTTTTTGTTTTTTTTTTTTTTTTCAATTAATCGTAATATGACGAATTATAAATTTTATTTTTTTTTTATTTTTTTTTTATTTTTTTTTTTATATGACCTCCCAAGTTACAATCCACACACCAAAAATTAAATATTTCTTTTAAAACTAAAAAAATAAAAAATAAAAAAAAAAAAGAACTAAAAAAATACTTTTTAATTTATAAATACAAATATACGCTCACATACACATACATACACACACACATAAATAAATATTTATTTTTTAAACACCCAAAACAAAAAAAAAAAACAAAAAAAATAATTTAAAAAAAATAAAAATTAAATTAAATTTTTTATTTTTTTTTATTTTTTTTTATTTTTTTTTTAAATAATAATTTTATTTATTTTATTTATTATCATAATCATCAAATCTTTCATCATTATAATATATTAAATTGTTTCTTTTTTTTAAATATTTTATAAAAGTGTTTAGTAATATACTGTATTGTATTGTTTAGTTTTATTTTTTAGTTTTATTTTTTATAATCGGTATTCAAAATATTTTTTTTGTAATAACTTTTGTATTATTTAATAAACTATAAATATATATATATATATATAAAAAAACCACAAAAAATCATTAGTTTCAATATTTTTTTTATTATTTATTCTTATTTTTTAAAAAAGTAAAAAAATCTTTTTTTTTTTTTTCCTTTTTGTAAAAAAAAAAAGAAAAAAGGAATTAAAATTAAAGTTAATAAAGAGATAAACTTTAAACCGCTCATAGCAGAAGGTGATAAATATATTGACAATAGTAATAATAGTGGCAATAACGAAAAAACTAACAATCCCGAAGAACTAATCAGTACGATAATTGATAATAATAATAGAAATAACAGAAAATTTAAAAATAAAACTAAAAAAACAGGATTAACAACTATAATGGACCAAACCAAATATATAAGTCTAAATAGGAATTTTAAATCAATAGATGCAAAGAAAATAATAAGGTTATCGTTAATACTTGTATTATCTATAACTATATTGATATTATTTATATTACTATTTATACCAAATTCACCAGTTAACAGAGTCACATTATCGTTTATGGAATGGATAAAGCAGATACCAAAAGGGTGGGGCTGTATACTTTTAACAATTATATATGCAGTTTCATTAGTATTTTGTTTTCCTGGCACACCCATTAATTTGGCAGCCGGGTTTTTATTTGGGCCCTATTTAGGCTCAGTTTCAACAGTATTAGGTTGTGATATAGGCGCAATATTAGCATTTTTCATTGGCAGAAATTTAACAAAAGATTGGACAACTTCAAAAATGAATGAAAATGAAAAATATAGTCAAATTAATAGTGCAGTTTCAAAAAATGGTTTATTAATTATATTTTTATTAAGATTATCACCAGCTATTCCTTTTGGTAAATATTATAGTTTTTACAATAATATGTTTTTAAAAAAATACTTTTATACTAATATTTTTTAAATATAATAGGAATTTGTAATTATATATTTGGTGCAACTAATGTTTCATTTTTTAATTATTGGGTTGGAACAACTTTAGGACTTTTACCATTTACAATTTTATACACATATTTAGGTAGTTCATTTTCAGACTTATCAGAGGTTTTCAATGACTCATTATCAGACGAAGAAAAGAGTAGAAAGAGATTTTATGGCTTGATGGGTATAACATTTTCATTTATTTTAATAGTGGCCATTACAATTATCACAAAAAGAGCTTTAAATAATGCAATGGTAGAAAAGAAAATAAATAAAGATGGTTTAGATTTAGAACAAGGTACTGAATTACCACTTATAGAGTCAAAGGATATTATCAGCAACCTATCAACAGCCTCATCACCACAAATGAATGGCAATATTAATATACAAACCAATAACTCTACATCAACATCCAACACTGCATCCACTGCATTAAATAATAATAAAAAAGCCAAAGCAATATTTAAAAGATCACCAACTGATACAGATCTTGACAGCAACAGTACAACTGAAGAATTTGACAGCAATGATGAAAATAACAGTAGCAAAGATATAATATTAACCATTAACGACCATGTAGAATTTCAAAATGATGATGAAGATTTCGATAACAACAATGATAATGATAAAACATTTTTAATTAAAAATAATTATCAAAATCCGATTCAAAAACAAATTAAATAATAATCTATTTAATAATTATACATGTATATAAAATAATATAATATATATAATATAACATATACATAACAATAAAATAATAATGATAGTAAACTCAAATATAATTTTTAATAAAAAGTTTATATATAAATTATATATAAAAAAAAAAAAAAAAAAAGTAATAATTTATTTTATTTTATTTTATTAACTTTATTTAAATTTATTATTTAAGTACAGTTTAATTAAATTATTGTGTACCTTCCAACCGTGATAAGAGTTCATTTCGATTAATAGATTTTTGCAATTGGGTAAAGATTTATTAATTGATAAACACAAGGTATCAAAATTATCAAACTTGCTTTTAATTTCATCTGAAATTACTAAACCATCTACTGTTGATGTCATTGTTGGTAATTGATTTAATTTAATTTTCCACTCGTTGATATTTAGCTTTTTGATATTGTATTCGGTTTCCATTATCTTAAAGTAATCCTTTAGCGATACTGTCTGCTCTGCAATTAAATTTAAAATATTTAAATTTAAATTATTAGTTTGGCACCAACACTTGTCATTAAATATTAAGTTGATGATATTGTTTACAACCCAATTGATTGGTGATTGCAAAAGTTTGATCTTTTTGCAACCACTGGGATAGTAATTTAAAATTTTGCATAATTCAATTAATAATTCAAAATCATTATAAAAAACCGTGCTACCATTGTTAGTATTGATGCCTCTTTTGACAATACCTCCACTACAACAGTTATTATTGAGCTCGATTGTTGGCAATAGGTAGTTTGTTATTCTGATGATTTGACATGGGATTTCGTTTTTTGATGCCATTTTTAATTGACCCTCGATACCATCTTTAATACTATATATGTTGGAGATATAAACAATTCTTTTTACAGCACCACTTTTTGAAAATTTTATCATTTCGGTAAGATGATTTGATTGCTCGTCATTTTCACTTTGATCTTTACCCACCGAATCATCATAAAGCTTTGAATTTAATATCATATTGGTTGAATACAACAAATGGTTGTATTGCAAAACGGATAAATTGAAATTTTCTTTATTTAAATTACCAATTACTGGTATTATTTTTATAAAATTATCTTCAAATATACTTGAATATAAATTGTAATGCTTAAGATTGTCTTTTATCTCTTCCATTGCCTCGCTTGTAGTTTTACTATCTTCTATTAAACAATAAACATTTTCTACACTGAATAACTTTATTAAATTGTATAATAGAAAACCGCCCAAATATCCTGATGTTGATCCAATTAAAAAAACTCTTAATCTTTCATTATGAATTGATTTTAAAATGGGTGGTTTTTTAACCTCAATATTTGTGATGGTCTTTATTTTTTTATCATCTTTTGAATTGATAGTCATTTTATTATTTTAGCTATCAAAATAACTACAAGTATAATTTTAACTTTAATTTTTTATTATTTAAAAATATTGTAAAAAAAAAAAATAAAAAAAAAAATAAAAAAAAAAGATAATATATAAAAATAAAATAAAGAATGTTTAAAAAAAAAAAAATATGTATACCATTTATAATATTTTTAATAAAATAGTATAAAACAATATCACTACTATAAAAAAATAGAAAAAATAATTAAAGATATTTTCTTTTATATATTAATTTTTATTATCTATTAAAAATTTAATAGATTAAAATTTTGTTTTTTATTATTTTAAAATTTTTTAACAAATTGGAAATTTTTTAATATACATTTTTATTTTTAAAAACTAAAATTTATATGTAAATGTACCATCTAATTTTATAAAATATTATTATTTTCATTATTATTAATTTTATATTAATAATTTTATTATTATTTTTTTTTTTTTTTTTTTAAATGTTACAAACTTCTTGACTAAATTCTAAGAGGGCATGCTCAAAGTTTTTGATTTCTTTATAATAATGTTTAACATTATATGTAATTTTTTTATAGTTTTCGTTATTAACTTTGACATAATTATCTGTAAAACTTTTTTTAGTGTTTTCAATTTCTTTTTGTTCAATTAAAAAATCCTCTATTATTTTTTTTAAAATTAAACAGTCGTTTCCCTCCATTTCCTCTAACAATGGTTCGTCTGGATGCTTTGAGCAATATTTTCTATATAATGTATTAAACATTAGGCTATTGATTTTTAATTTTTGATAGGTGGTTGTTTCTTCTAAACCATCGTTAATGACCGAGAGTTTATTAAATTTCTTATTTAATTTTTTAAATGAATTACATTGCTCTTTTGGTAATTTACAAAAAACCGTTGAAACTTGATTTAAAAATATTATTATTATAAAAAAAAAAAGAACTTTATATTTCATTTTTTTCTATTTATATTTATCTATTTAAAATAAAATTGTTTTGTCAAATTAAAAGAATATATTTTTAAACCAAACATTAAATAAATTAAAAATAAAAAAATAAAAAAATAAAAAATTAAAAAAAATAAAAAAAAATTAAAATAATAAATTTTTTTACCTAAAATGATAAAAAAGATCCTATGGCATCCTTTTTAAAACAATGAAAACTATTTATCAAAATTTAAATAAATAAATATATTCTAATAACTATATTATTTATTTAAAAAGATGTTTTTTTTCTGTTTAAGCAACACTAATTGTTAAGTCTGTACCTCCTGTATTAATGAAGGTTAGTTTAGCACCATAAAAATCACGAGAGAATTCTTGAGAATTTTGAAATAGAATTGTTTGCATGTCATTGCCCTCGATGGTTGTAGTCTTTCAATGATATAATGAGGAGGATTGTAAAATTCCCACTTGATCCTAAACTTAAGAGATCATATTGAACCATCATATTATCAAAAATTACAAGAATCAACATCTCCTGAACAATTTAGACAGCAACAAAAACAATATCTCCATCAAATCAACAACCACAACAAATTATTAATAATAGTGGGTATCAAATCCCAACGTCCCTACCAATACTCCCCATTAATTGATATGCAAAATAATAAAAAGCTATTTAATATATACATAAAATGTAAATAAAATGTAAATAAAACTATAAACATAATTAAAAAAAAATTTTCTCTTTTTTTTTTCACATTTATATAACCATTGTAAAAAAAATTAATTTTTCACTTTATTAAGATACCATCATTTACTTATATTAAATATTCAAAATAATAAATAATAAAAAAAAAAAATAAAAATAAAAATAAAAATAAAAATAAAAATAAAAAAGTCAGTTGAGATTATTATAATAAACTACATGCCAAGATTTGAGTCATGATTTAAATATTATAATAATTCTAATTCTTTTTTTTTTTTTTATCTATTTTTTAATTATTTTTAAATAAAAATACAAAAAAAAAAAAATAACCAAAAAATAAACTATAAAAAAACTAAAAGAAAAATGAATTAATTAGTCAAATATGTGAAAACACTCGGTTTTTTTTTTAAATTTCCACAATGAGTCAAACTATTTCATTTTTTCTTTTTTTTTTTTTTAAAAATTTTTTTTTTTAATTTTATTTTTTTTTAATTTTTTTTTTAATTTTTTTTTTTTTTAATTTTTTTTTTAATTTTTTTTTTTTTTTTTTTTTTAGCCGAGTTATTTGATTTTTTTTTTTTTTTTTTTTTTTTTTTTTTTTTACCGGGGGTGGAAAACCCCCCCCAAAAGGGGGGGGTCCCCAAAAAATTAAAAGAAACCCCCCCAAAAAAATATATTTTGTTTTTAAAATTAAAAAAAAAAATTACATATCTTTTTTTTATATACCCCCCCCCAAAACATTTTTTAAATACTAATAAATAATAATAATAATAATAATAATTAATAATATGATCTAAACATTATTTATATTTTATTTTTTAATTTACCTATATTCACGCGCATTGCTTGTGTGAAAATTTAAAATTTCACCCCACACATTTTTATATTGTTATTTATTTCTCTTATACAGTCAACATATTCCATTAGAATCGCAAAAGGAAAATTTTTTTTTTTTTTTTTTTTTTTTATAATAATAATAACCCAACCACACAATGATAATTAATTTGACTCATTACAAAAAAAAATATTTATATAAAATATTTTTTTTTATTATTATAATATTAATTTTATTATAATCTATTAATAAATAATAATTATAATATTTTATATTTATACCACAATATTGATTCATTAAACCTTTTTTTATTTTATTTCTATTTTCGTTTTTAAAATTTAAAATATTTTTTAAAAATTTTAAAATTTTTTTTTATAACAAATAATATATAAATAATAAATAAAAATTAATTATTAACATTATTTTATAAACTTATATATATAATAATAGTAAAAATGACAAAATTACACAACAAAGTTAAAGATATGAGCTTAGCCGCTTGGGGTCGTAAAGAAATCGAAATTGCCGAAAATGAAATGCCAGGTTTAATGGCCTTAAGAAAGAAATACGGTTCAACTCAACCATTAAAAGGTGCTCGTATTGCTGGTTGTTTACACATGACCATCCAAACTGCCGTTTTAATTGAAACCTTAACTGCTTTAGGTGCTGCTGTCCAATGGTCATCATGTAACATTTTCTCCACTCAAGATCAAGCCGCCGCCGCTATTGCTGCCACTGGTGTCCCAGTCTATGCCTGGAAAGGTGAAACCGAAGAAGAATACAACTGGTGTATTGAACAAACCATTGTTTTCCAAGATGGTCAACCATTAAACATGATCTTAGATGATGGTGGTGATTTAACCAACCTCGTCCACGCCAAATACCCACAATACTTAGCTGGTATCAAAGGTATCTCAGAAGAAACCACCACTGGTGTCCACAACTTATACAAAATGTTCAAAGATGGTAAATTAAAAGTCCCAGCCATCAATGTCAATGACTCTGTCACCAAATCAAAATTCGATAATTTATACGGTTGTCGTGAATCATTAGTCGATGGTATCAAACGTGCCACCGATGTTATGGTTGCTGGTAAAGTTGCCGTCGTTGCTGGTTATGGTGATGTCGGTAAAGGTTGTGCTCAAGCTTTAGGTCGTCAAGGTGCTCGTGTTATGGTCACTGAAATCGATCCAATCAATGCCCTCCAAGCCTGTATGGATGGTTACCAAGTTGTCACCATGGAATATGCTGCCTCACAAGCCAACATCTTTGTTACCACCACTGGTTGTAAAGACATTATCGTCGGCAAACACTTTGAAGTCATGAAAGAAGATGCCATCGTCTGTAACATTGGTCACTTTGATTGTGAAATCGATGTTGCTTGGTTAAATGCCAACGCCAAAAAAGATAACGTTAAACCACAAGTTGATCGTTACACTTTAGCCAGCGGTACCCACATCATCTTATTAGCCGAAGGTCGTTTAGTCAACTTAGGTTGTGGTACTGGTCATCCATCATTCGTTATGTCAAACTCTTTCTGTAACCAAACTTTAGCCCAAATTGCCCTCTGGACTGAAACCGAAAAATACCCATTAGGTGTTCACTTCTTACCAAAAATTTTAGATGAAGAAGTTGCCCGTCTCCATCTCGGTCAACTCGGTGCCACTTTAACCGTTTTAACTCAAGACCAAGCTGATTACTTAGGTGTTTCAATCGAAGGTTGTTACAAACCAGATCATTACCGTTATTAAATTGTTTCACTAAATATTTATATTTAGGGTTTCTTACTTTATATACTGTGTTTTTACAATAAATCTTTTTTTTTTTTTAATATGATATATTTTATTATATATAATATCTAAAAAAATAAAGAAAAAAAAATTAAAAAAAATAAAAAAAATTAAAAAATTAAAAAAAAAATATTACATATGTCTTTTTATTTATCTTTTTTTCAGAAACAGTTGTTTATTTTTATAAAAACTATTTATAAATTCATAGAATTTTTTATTTATTTTTTATAATACTATATGTTTTATAGTATTTTCATATTTTTGAATATACAAATTATAATTGAATACCAAATTTAGAGTTTTGAATGGATCACCCAATTTAATTAATATTCAAAATAATTTATATTTATTTATTTTTATTTTTTTTATTTTTTTTTTTCGAATTTTTTTAATTTTTTTTTTTTTTTTTTTAATTTTTTAATTTTTTATTTGTTTTATGTTATTTTCAAATTAATAATTTTAAATTTAAATTTAAATTAAGGAATTAAGAAAATGTCAATATTAGAATCTAAAATATCAACTCCAAATAAATCACCACCCCAGCAACAAAAATATACACCAGAACAAGGTAAATTTATTAATTGGTTATATACTTAATAAATTCAAATTTTAAATAATCCAAATTAATTATATATTAATTTTTTAAAAATTCATTTTTTTTTTTTAAAATCTCAAATATAAAAACTAAAATTTAAAAAAAGATCAAGATATAGTAAGATCAATGTGGGAAACACCGTCAATATATCAATATTTATCATTTTTTAAACAACCGCTAGGCATTAAAAATGTATCGAGCGACGATTTAGAGGGTTTGTTATTAAACCCAAAAAATTATCCAAAACTAACCGGTGAAATATTTATTGCATTATTAAAAGATTTATTACCAATTACAAAGCAAAGAACAATAAAGTAGGTTTCATATAATAATAATAATTATAATTATAATATTAACTAATTTCATTATCTATCATATAGTTTTAACAATTGGGAACAATTCTTAAAAACAGAATTAAATAAAGAAAATAATTATTTTGACATTTTTGATGAGAATCCATTCCTTGAAGGTGATCAATTTTCAGAAATATCTCAAGTAAAAGACAGAGTATTATTATTAAAGGCAGTTTGTGATTGGAGTTTAGCAAAATCACAAACCATTTTAGCACATGTTAAAAATTATCTTAATGAACCTGATACATTGGTATGTTTATTATATTATTGTTTATTTTATTTATTTAATCATATTATTAATAGTTATTATTATTATTACTATTATTTTAAATATTATTGTAGAGAAATTTACCATTGGGCATTTTAAATAATCAAAAAGAGTTTTATTATTATTTTGGGGATTATAGATTATACAGAGAAACAGTTACCAATTCAAATGGAAGGAAAAAGACCAAAGATCAAGGTAGAGAGCAAAATGGTAAATGGGAAATCGTTTGTTCAACAAGTGAAGAGTGGGATGAGATTATTGAAAAGTATGAACCATATAGCGAAGAGGGGGATGAGTCAGATGAAAAAACATTATATATAAATTTAAAGGATGTTTACCCACAGGTTACAGCAAAATTAGCAGCATCTAAAAGAAAGAAGAATAGCATGTTTTCTTCAGCACAAGTATCAAATCCTGTTAACGATTCAAAACATTGGAGATCTTCACGTTTACTTGCTAAGGATTTAAGAAAGAAAGAACAAGAGGATTTAATGCAGATTCAACAACAACAAATACAACAGTTAGAAAATGATCCATTCTCTAGACCAAGATCAACTAGAGCAAGAACCAATCTTTATTTCAATGATGAAGGTGTTTTAAATAACCCACAAGAAAATGATGAGGATATGATTGGTGGTGGCAAAAGTGTTGAAAATGTTAGAAAAAGAGGTAGAGGTTCATATGAAGATAAACAATCTATTCAAGTTCATTTTAGTAGAAGTGGTAGAAGAGTTATAACAGATGATTATGGTAGACCAAGAGCATATTCTTCTTTAACAGATGATGAAAAGAAATATGTTGATGGATTTATTGAAGAGGAGGGAGATGGGGAAGGAGGACAAGAGGAAGAAGAATATAGAGAACAATATAGAGAAGAGGGAGAAGAAGACGAAAGCGAGGAGGAAGAAAGAGAAGAGGCTAAAGATATTGTTAACAATAATGAAAGTGACAATAATAAATCTATAGATAAAGAGAAAATGATAGTAATATAGATAATAATAAAAATAATGAAAATGACAATAATAAGTCCGAAAAGCAAAAATTACAGGAACAATTACAACAATTACAACAACAGGTTTTAAAGGAACAACAACAGCCACACCAAGAAAAGCCAAAGGAAACCATAACACCAAAGGAACCAATGGAGGAATCTAAAAGCCATCAAGATGAAAAGATGGAGATGGATAACCATAGTAGCGATATTAATAGCAACACTTTAGACAACGAGGATACCAATAATAAAAATAATAGTAATAATAACTCTACCAATAATATTAATAGTTCAAATAATACAGTAAATATATAAATAAAAGGTTTAAATAAAACCCTATAGTTGGAAAAAAAAAATTCCTAAAAATATTTCAAAAACAATATCTGTATTTCTTATTTTTTTAAAAAAAGACAAATAGAATCAAAGTTTTAATCTTATCTTTTTTTTTTTTTTTTTATTTTTTTTCCCATTAAAAATTTAATTCAAATATTTTTAAAACAATAAATATGCAAATAAATAAGCACAACCACACATTCACACACTTTTTTTTTCATTCCACTTGTTCGTTAAATCTAATGTTGTATTTATAATAATTAGTAATTTATTTTTTTTGTTTTTAGGAACAGCTACTGCACACAATCTATGGGGATTTTATTTATTTCTAGAGAAATTGTTTTTTTTCATATTTTTTTTTTTTTTTAAATTAATTTTCTTTTTACTTTGTTCTTTTTTTATTTAAAGCGATTCTTTAAAAGTTTCTCCTTTTATAAATAAACAAGCAAAATTAAAAAAAAAAAAAAAAAAAAAAAAAATAGATTTTTACAGTATTTTTATTTAATTTTAATTTTTTTTTTTTTTTTAGTTTTACATAAAAAAGCGGAGTGATTCGAAATAAAAATTATTTTTTTTTATATAAATCATAAATAGGGCTGGTGTATCTTTGGACATATTAGCAAAAAAATATACAAATATATTTAAGGTAAATAAAAGAAATAAAACAGTATAATAAAGAAGCAATAAAAAATGTTTTGTTTGATCTTTTATTTTAAAAAAAAGAATCTATAAAGATCTTTAGATCATTTCATATGATCTTTTGGTTGTTCATCATATAATTTTAAACAAATTAAAATACAAATAAAATAAAGGAATTAGTAATTAATAACAACAATAATATAAATAATAATAATAATAATAATTAATAAATATTTTACCAAAAAACTTTTTATTTTTATTTCTAAAAATAAAACACACCACACAAACACTAATAATAATAGTTATTATTTTTCATTCCTACACATGTGTTTAAACAATAACACTCACCAACACACTCACATACCCACAAATAAAATTTTTTTTATATATAGAAAAAAAATTAAGTAAATTATTATTTGTATATTTGATTGAAATTATTTTATTAATAGAATAGGATGGGATTAGTAGTAAAATAATAGATAATATATTTATTATTATTATTATTATTACTATATTATATATAAAAATTAATTATCTTTTTATTTTTTTTCTTTTTAAAACTATAATTTGTGTGGGGAGTTAAAGAAGAAAAAAAGATCAAAATTTTTTATAAATATATTTCTTTTTTTTTTTTTGTTTTTTTTATAAAATAAACTTTTCCAATTTTCACACATGATGCATCAAAAACAACAAAATAAAAAATAATAAAAATAATAAAATTTTTTTATTTCAACATTACAATATATCTCATTCCACAATTTTTTTTATTTTTTTTATTTCCCACACCCCACTTTGTTACACTCCCCACAGAAACTCCAAAAACAATTTTTTTTTTTTAATATTATTTATATCAAAGTAAAAATCCAATAGTTTTTATTATTTTTTTAAACTTTGTCAAAAAGTTACATATTATCACCTTTACTTTTAACAAAAAAAATAAAAATAAAAAAAATAACACAATAGATATCAATGATTCTAAAAATAAATATTAAAAATAAAATAAAAAAAAAATCAACAAAAAAAAAAAATAAAATAAAATATAGTAACAACAAAAAATATAAATAATATATAATAAATCATCAAATAATATATAAAGCAAATAATAATTATTATTTTGTTTATTTTTATTGTTTTGTTTTATTTTTTATATATGTTGTTGTGTTTGAAAGTCTAATTAGACTAATTAATTAATTTCGATAATTATAATAATTAAAAGTATTTTATAATAATAAAAAAAGAAATAAAATAGTTCTATATTTTTATTTTTTCTATAAATAAATTTTTTTAAAAAACCCAGTACTCCTGTAATAACATATATGTATATAAATAAAATGGTAATATATTTAAAAATAATCAAAAATTGAATAATAAAAATCACACACCAATAAAAAAAAAAAAAAAAAAAAAAATAGTCTTTTTATAGTATTATTTATTCATCATCCATCCCCTTTTTAATTCATAATAATAATAGTTATAAATACTTGCTTTTTATTTTATTCTTTTTGGTTTTATTTTTATTATATTCAATATATCTATTTTGCAAATATATATATTTAAAAACAGTGTTGTCATTTTAAATCTTTATAAATATATATAAACCCACATATATTTGTACATTCATTTTTTTTTTTTTAATTTCGGTGAATGATGTTCAATACCTTTAGGACATTCCAACTCTAAAGTGGTTATTTTGTTTTATATTAATTAAAATATATAAAAAAACATAAAAAATAATTATAAATTTTACTTTTTTTTATTTTTAATTTAAATTTTGGTTCTTTATTGTATTTTATTTGTATTGTTTTAATAACAAAGTAATTAATGTTTAAAATATAAATAATATATTCCTTTATTAATTAACAAAATATTAATTTATTTGTTTTTTTTTTTAAAAATAGATGAAATTAAATATTAATTTTAATATATTATTAGTTGTATTATTAGTTTTATTAAGATGTAATTCTATAGAAAGTTCATCAGCTGATAGTGGCAGTGATGAGGGTCAATTCCCACAAAGTATTAAATTATCAGTAACCGGTAAATCAAACGAAATGTTGGTTAGTTGGTTTACAAATAATCAAATTGGGAATTCATTTGTACAATACTCTTTATCTGTCGCAAATTTAGTCAAATACGGAGCAGGATCAAAGAAAGGTGTAGTTACTGTCAATGGTAAATCAGAAAAGTTTTCAACATGGACTGGTTACTCAAATGCAGTTGTTTTAAGTGGTTTGGAGCCAATGACTACTTATTATTATCAATGTGGTGGCTCAACAAGTTTAATTCTTTCTGAAATCAGTTCATTTACCACATCAAATTTTTCAACTGATGGCAGTTATTCAAACCATGTCACTCCATTCACTATTGCAGTTTATGGTGATATGGGCTATGGTGGTGGCTATAATAACACTGTTAAAGTACTTCAAGATAATCTTCCACAATACGCTATGATCATCCATGTTGGTGATATTGCCTATGCCGATTATGATAAAGTTGAACAAGGTAACCAAACCATCTGGAATGACTTCCTTCAATCCATCCAATCGGTCACAAGTAAACTTCCATACATGACCACTCCAGGTAATCATGATGTATTTTATTCATTCACCGCCTATCAAACTACTTTTAATATGCCAGGTTCATCATCTATGCCATGGTATTCATTCGATTATAATGGTGTTCACTTTTTATCATTCTCCACCGAATCAGATTTAGCTCCATTTACTCAACAATATCAATGGATTAAAAGTGATTTAGAATCTCATAGAAAGCAAAACCCAAGTGGTTGGATTATTGCTTATGCTCACAGACCATATTATTGTTCAACTAATGTCGATTGGTGTAGAAAACAAACTCTTCGTGCTTTAATCGAATCAACAATTGGTGAATTATTCCAAACTTATAATGTCGATTTATATTTAGCTGGCCATAGTCATGCTGCCGAATTAACACTTCCAACATATAAACAAACTCCAATTGGTTCATTTGAAAACCCAGGTGCAACAAGTATGTATAATATTATTATTGAATTTTAAAAATATATATTAATTAATTATTTTTTTGTTTGTTTTATTTTAGTTCATTTAACACTTGGTGCTGCAGGAAATCAAGAAGGTTTGGATTATAATTATGTAGAGCCAGCTCCACTTTGGTCATCTTTTAGAGTATCTGAATTAGGTTTTGGTCAATTCCATATTTACAATTCTACTCATATTCTTTGGCAATTCATCACCGATAAAGATACTGTCCTTGATGAAAAATGGATTGTTAAAGGTTATTTCGATTAAAAAATAATTATATATATATATACTATATTATTTGTATAAAATTAATAAAGATTTATCAAATGGATATAGATTTTTTTATTTATTTTTTTATTTTTAAAATTTTAGTATAAATAAAAATAAAGAAACATAAAGAAAAAAAAAAAAAAATAGAATAAATTCATTTTAATTTTTTTTTAAAAATATTGTCTAAAGTTTGTTTTTATTTTGATTATAAAGAATTGAACATATCATTTATATCAGATGCTCTTGGATTATGGATTGTAATATTTGGTATTGATGAAAGTAATGAATCTGTAATTTTATAGTTTTTGCAAAGTTTTAAAAATTTTACTGATTTTGAAAGAATATTTGGTTCCAAGGGTTTTTTAAAACTTGAAGAGAATGATATGCATGTTACCGAGGGAGGGATAATATTTCCAGCTACTGATTGGTTAAAGCTATAACCAAAGTTTAGGGTGGTAAGAGATGACGGTAAACTATTTTCGATTATTATTTGATTAAAACAATAGCCAAATGTGAGGACTTGCAGTGAGTTTGGTAAAGAGTTGCAAGGTATAATTCTATTAAACTCAGCAGATAGAGTTAGGGTTTCTAATGAGTCGGGTAAGATACCAGGTAATATATCTTGATTAAAGTCTCGCCCGAATGAAAGGTGTTTTAAGTTTTTAGGTAGTGAGCCAATATATAGTTCGCAGTTGAAGCAATTATCAAAAGATAAAGATGTAATTGATTTTGGTAAAATATCATTATGAATTACAGAGTTGAAGGATTTCCCAAACGAAAGAGAGGTAACAGATGGAGGGATGATATCGTGTGATAGTATTTGGTTAAAATAGGCACCAAAGGTAAGGGTTTTGACTGATGGCGGGATTATAAATGGTGATATTGGTTCATTAACATACTTTTGACTAAAAGAGAATGTGAGAGTTTCAACAGAATGTGGAATTGAGTACAGTTCGGTGGGTGGCAACCCAAAAGTAAGTTTTTTAACAGATGGTGGTATTTGATTTGGTAATACAGACTGACCATATACATTTGAAAAATGCAACTCTTTAATTGAGGATGGTAAGTTGTGGATATCTTGATTAAAATTAAAGCCCAATGATAGATAGGTAATTGAGTTTGGTAAGTGATTCAAAGGTTGGTTAAATTGATCACCAAATATGAGCGTATGCACTGATTCTGGTATTAAAAATCGGTCTATTTTTTGATTAAAATCGTTTCCTAGAGTCAAAACCTCGACTCCAAATGGTATAGACCCAAATTGAAGTTCTTGATAACAAATTTTTAATATCTTTACACTTGGAGGCACTATATGTGGAGTGAGGGGTTGCTTAAAATTTGAAGATAGCTGAAGTTTAGTCACGGATGAGGGTATCGAATGGGCCTGTAGTGGTTGAAGAAAGTGGCATTGGAATGAAAGATCGGTAATGCTCGATGATAATACACCTGGGTCAATAGCTCTGTTAAACTTTTCACCAAAAATAAGGGTGGTTACTGAATCTGGGATACTGTTTTTAAATATTTCACAGTTAAATTCTCTACCCAAAGAGATTGATTTGCATCGTGGAGGTATTGACTGGCCAGCTAAAAGTTCTTGGTTGTATCTTCCAGATATATTAACAAACTTTAGGTTTTTCGGTAAAGAATCTTTAACAAATATATGATTATAAGGATCCTCAAAAGAGATTGATGTCAAAGACTCTGGTAAAACAAATGGTTTAATAGGTTGATTGTATCCATGCGAAAACGATATTGATTCTACACCTTCAGGGATTATACCTTTAGTTAATAATGTATTAAATCCATAGCCAAAATTTAATCTCTTTGTTGTTTCTGGGATAATACCAGGCACTAAATTTCTGTAAAACTTGTAACCTATTGACAGCACTTCCACACCCAGAGGAATATCTCCAACTTGTAGCTGTTCATAATCTTTGGTTGAATTTAAATAAAATACATCCTCTGCTGAGTAATACCAAGGGTGGTCACCTTGTGTATCCAAATTTAATTCCAATATATAATCTCTAAATCTATAGTTTATTAAACTTTCTCTAGTTGTACAGCTAAAATAATAATAAAAGTTATATTTGTTTATATTGGTTTTAATTAAATTTCTTAAATAACAATTTCTATAGATAAAATAAAATAATTCATTTTTATTATTATCTGCAATATGCATTATTTATTTATTAATATCAATTATTTATTATTTAGTATTTGGTTTATTATTATTTATTGTTGTTTATAAAAATAAAATAAATTAAATATAAATTAAAAAAAATAAAAATTTAAAAAAAAAATCAATTAATTTAACTTTTTTTTTTTTTATTCAAAAATTTTTTTTGTTTTTTTTTAATATTTAAAAAGTTATCCAACAACAATCAAAGTTTATTAAAAAATTCATTAAAACATTACAGTTAATTAAATTATATTTTTTTTTTATAAAAAAAAAAAAAAAAGCCAATAAAATTTATTGCATAATGCAAGTACAATGAAACCATTGAAATAAATTACAATGTTTTTTTTTTTTTTATTTCATGTTGGGATTATAATAAAATAAAAATTTTTTTTTTATTGTATTAGTTTGGCGCCCACTTTTTTTTTTTTCTTTTTTTTTTTTTTTTTCAAAATCTATTATTTTAAATTTAAAATTTTTTTTCTTTTGTTTTTTTAAAAAATATATATTCACATAGTTTTTATTTGTATAATACTTGTATATAAAAAATATAAAAACTATAATTATTTATTTATTTATTTATTTAATTTAATTTATTTATTTATTTATTCATTTAAAATATTTAATTTATTAATTTAAATTAAAGTAAAGGTAAATTTTAAAAAACAGCTATATTAATAATTAATTTTATTATCATTATTATAAATATATATTTTGTTGTTTATTTTTATTTTCATTTCCTTTTTTAGTCTCCACTCACCCACTGACACTCACACCCCCCACATTATACAATAATCAATATAATTTGCATATTATAAAACATGCACTATAATAATAATAATAATATTATCATCATTTGTATGATCAAAAAAAAAAATAAATAAAAAAAATAAATAACAAAACAAAACAAAAAAAAAAATAAACAAAAAAAAAAAATAATTTAAAATTTAATCCATAATAATTAATAATCTAAATAATAATGTTAGTCTTTAGATTTAATTTATGGCTCGATTTTAAGAGAGAATAAAATATTAGTAGAAACACAATATTAATTTTTTTAATTTACCAATACCAAAATAAATCACCAAATTATAAATTAATAACTAAAATTTTAATATCATACCCCCTATACGTGCACCGGTCACCCCAACACCCTTTTTTAAAATATTTCTTTCTATTTATTCTAAAAAACAATATCTATTATTATCTCTCCACAAAAAAATTGTTAATATATAAGATATTCTCTTAATTTTATATCATGTAAATTTTTTTATGTGTGCATTTTTCATTTTTTATACAATATCAAATCACATCACATTCACTATTATTTTTTTTTTATTATTATATTTTTTGTTTCTATATAAATAAAAATCAGAACAATGATGAATTATTAGCTATTATTATCGATAATAGTC